TCAAAATTGGCCAGAATTTCGAAATTCAGCAAAAATTAGCCCCTTGAATTGGGCAACCTGTACTGGCAGACATGTCAGACCGGTTGCCTGATCGTAGGCGCAAACGTACCACCTCTTCGCACATCATGTGCTCCTGATACAAAAATGCCAAATCGGCCAGAAATCCGAAATGTACCGAAAAGTAGCCCCTTGAATTAGGCAACCTGTACTGACATACGTGTCGGACCGGTTGCCTGTCCGTAGGCGCAATTGTGCCACCTCTTCGCACATCATATGCTCCTGATACCAAAATGTAAAATTCAAAAATTTGATACGTGCCAAAATTCCTCGTGCCACCTTTTCGCATATCATGTTCTCCTGATACCAGGTAAGATGAATTTTTTAATAAAGTAATATCAGCTTACATTATTATCTGACTTTGACTGTGTTCACAAGAATTATAACTACCCTTCGGTGAAACATAAATTTATTGATGACAAGTGATCGTGGAATCAGTATGTAATGCAAACGCAAGTCAACAATGTAGGATCTGTTGCGAACATAACAGAAATATATGCATTTTTATTGAGACGAATACATCACCAAGAAGTAAGATAGGGATGTCTTTAACAGCTGAAAAGATACCTCTTATTGGTTAAAAGAAAAACGACTTTCTACTGATGAATATAATGACTGCATGACAATATAAATTAAACAGACACGTACAATCGCAAATCCTTCGATAGAGGGGTAGTACACGAACAAAATTTTCGTATTAATTAGTCTAAAACTTTTCGACATAATGAATAACATCTTCTGAGTTGATACCGACGTTCTATACCAATCTGTATTATACCTATGAATTTAATAAAATTGTGTTCATTCTACATACTCAACGATGTGAATGAATAAATTTAATGGTCACAAAATCAGATCCAACCTATGAACATACACAAAGCAATTCAATTCTAGAAGGTGCAGTGATACTTACAAAAACGTAAAAATATTATTGCCACGGTCTACCACATGTTGCACTAAGAAGTTGATGTAAAACATGTATACAAAAATTGCCATAATCATTATTATGGATTGCAGCGTCTCTCCCATTCGGTTTACCAGGAATATTGTTTGTGATAACTAAAAAATAGTAAGGATGAAGTTAAAGGTCTCTGAATTTCTTAACCATAAAGAAGATCAGTGACTTGCACGAAATAACACAATGCTTTGAGAAAGAACACCTATGATTAGAAGAAGAGAATACGATACTCCAACGGTAGACATCAAATCAGTGGAAAACCTTTAAGAAAAAATAGAGAGAACGTCGCAAATGAACTTGAAGAACACTATCACAAAATTAAGTTGGAATTCGGAAATTTCACTGACGAGAAATTTGCAAGATTGTTAATAAATGCAATAGTTTTGAGACTTAGCACGATAGCCATTAGACCATAGCTTTTATTAATGATCTTGCTGACTTCTTCTGAGACAGTACCGGCAAAGATTAGTAACAATTCGAGCAAATATTTTGTTTCTGTATAATACTGACTTTAACGCTCTTCTGTGTAATTCCACAGATTTTATTAGCTTGTATTTGTTAACTGGATGGAACTGTCTTCCATGAACACCAGAAACGGGAATACAATCCAGAATTGCCTCGCGCATACGATGACTGGAAAATGTCAAAAAATTAAAAACATTTATAATTCCTACTGAGAAGAATAACACCTATTCCGCTTTATTTATAAATTAAAAATGTTGGTTCTGTTGGATCTTGTCGAAACTTATGTAAGGAATAAAAATTAAACAAATACTGGGTCATTCCAAATGAAATACATATATGCGGTACGAGGCGGCTATCTTTAATATTTTATTACGACGCTAATCGAAAGAACACCAAAATGAAACTTCAAGGAATGCAATGATAATTTTTTCGGATTTTTAAAAGCGTGACCTCGAGGTGGTATTTGCAAATAAAAATATATTCAGGAAGAGCAATCCCTCCCGATTAAAATAAAAAAAAAAAAAACGGTCAATAGGATGAACAGTTAAAGAGAGAAAAAATTCAAATGTACAACCCATTTTCATCAAAATGGGAAAAATTGCAATATTTGAAGGTTTGTATTTCTCAAGCGGTTTTGAAACGAGCAATATAATCCTCCTCCCCTCCCAGTTTCACGTAAACTACAATATATTTCATTTGGAACAAAATCGGAGACATCGACCAAAACGAGTGATCGATTTGGCGTGGAATGACCCTACTATTTTTGACTATGTATGAATGTGTTATCGCGTGTATCCATTATCAAACAGACTTATCTTACCAAACAATTACAAACAACGAAGCAAGGTGCTGTATCAACATCGTAACAATAGATTCATTTGCAATAAACGTTGTTCCAATTAGGATGATCATCAGGCACTGATAAGACGCGATCAGAAAAAAGTACTTTTGTTCGTCTATGAAGTATTCCGTTACTATTGGAGACACATGAGGACGGGTTTCGTTCAATGGCGCTACAATGTCCAGGAGTTCAGATGTGAAGTGAGATACCATCGTAAGAAACATCGACGGATACATAAATACTGCAATAGGTAGATTATTGCAAAAGTGCGAACACGCAGACGCTGGCTTCTTTGATTTACGATTGTTCCTTACATGCAAAAATGATTGAATAACGTCTTCCCGTGTAGGCGTACTCTTTAAGAATCTTCAGCTCCTCGTCATCCATTGTGTTCCAATCGTGAATCATATCTTCCATAAATGTTTTTAACTGAATTAAATATTGTACTTGTACACTGTCAGGTGAACAGGAGTCTGACAATCATTCGTTCAACTTACTTTTTCAGCATGTCGCCAAAACGTAACGTATTTGGTGAGAGAGCCCAGTGATAACATTATCACTAAAATGATTACTCATTGCATTTACATGTGGAACAGCACATTTTTTTAATTTTCGTAGCGAATGTCCTGGATCATAGTCCTCTTCATGAAAATGTGCAGAACAGACAGCAGCAGTTTTATGGACTTGAATGCCCACCAGGTGTATGGCTATAAGCCATTGTTCTCGTTTTTCTACATTTTTTGGAAATCTAAAAATACGTCTTCGTATTTGTGTGTATTCTACAATATATAAATATCGTCTGTTTGCATATAAACATATAACACTACAAGTTTTAGAGTTAACCTAACCTATACATTCATAAATCTTTACTTACAAGTGAAAGGAAATCTTCTGGTTTTTTGCTTCATATTCCAATTGCTCGTAATTTTTTTTCACACTGCGATTTTTGCAACCAAATACTACACAGTAACTCATTTTCTTTGCCGATTTTATGTTCTATATTCAGTTGAAAAAAGCTGACTGTACAGTACTATCAACAATAAGTACTATAGCTATAGGAAACAACTTTGACTTGGTTTGACTATAGTCAAAGGGAAACAACGGGGGTAACCATCGGTAATACAGTTCAATTCAGTTTGAGGAATACAAACAGCTCCCACTGAATAACCAATTTAGCTTATACCTCGTTGGTAATTGTAATAATAAAAATTCTTGTGAAAAGAGTAACAACATTTTGAATCACACAAATAGACAAGTATGTAACCCAAATTTGTTTCTCCGCTAAGCGTTTTGTCTACGCGAACAAGAGTCGTGACAGTGGTCGGCCATATTGAAGCTATACACAAGTTAAAGTGATCGTTCGTGAATATAACACTAGTACAGTTAGATGCCTAAGTTCCCTGTCTCACACTCGCGAGACTTGTCAAGTCGTGGTCTACTGTTCCTTAATTCGTTAAGCACGTAAGTACCTAATTACTTCGTATAGCATACACGTAACAAAACGCTATACTCTCAGCTACATTACCGATTGGGTTAATAGGATTTAAAATGCCGGTATGATTTCGAAAAAAACAAAAAGGACATCCTCTACTACATTTATTCTGTCGCTGATCAATTTTCAAGGATAGCTTGGCAGGTACGCGTCAATATGAATGAATCCGTGTAATGAATGATGTAAAATATTGTGAGCGTAACTCTAACATTGACTTTCACCAATCTTTTAAGGAGGCGCTCGGAGTTGTGTGGGTGTATGGATGTCCGCGTTTGTGTGACAAAGTGCGCATAGTAGGTGAGGTCATACACCCATCACTCGCGCAGGTGGTTCATCCTCCATTCCCGCAGTACAGTCAGTCTGTAAAGCAAGTGCACGAGATCATTTGAAGATCTGAAGGAACTCCAGTTCGTTACGTTACTGCATTCAACGATGACCGATAACATGTTGTTTAGTAAATTTTCTGTGCCGATCCTAGCACTCATGGTCACTGTCACTCATACTAACTACACAGACATTGATCTGTCGCCGGATCACATCAAGTATTATTTCAATTCTTTTCCCACGGCAGCCGAAAAGTGCCGCAACGACACTGCCTGTCCGTACAAGGTAATATTTCGTGTATTAATAACGCGATCATGTAAAAAAATGTTGCTATGATTAAGTGAATTTCCGTGTGTCTCAATTATCTTTTTTCGCGCGAAAGTTCAGGGCAGTAAGTGTTAAACAAAATTCAATCAAAGCAATGAATCAAATGGTTAGTCGTTAAGAGCTCGTAACAATCAATAATTAAATTAATTTAATTATTCGAATAATGAATTTTAATGCGTTTAATCTTTTTTAAATGTATCCAATGTTGGTCGCTGGTAATTAACGAACTTATTAACCAACAATTAGAGTAATCTAATGATTAATTTTTCGATAAAAATAACATAATACCAGAGAGATTAATGATTAATTTATTTGTTAATCGCCGATCATAATCGATTTAAGACTTAAATTTTAATGAAAGTTGTGTAAAATTTTGGGGACTTTGAATGGTCAGATGCAATGTTTAAAATCTCGGTGACACAAAAGAGAGAAATTAACGAAAAATTTTTCTTCGAAAAACTTAGGATAGCCTTGATACCAAAGCTTGTTGGGGTTACGAGCCAAATTGCAAAGCCGAAAATTCTTTTTCCGTTCCTCAATGTCCAGGTGATCATAAAGGATGGGTAACGACGAAAAAAGCTCAATTAGACACGTTTTACGCTCAAGGCGATTTCGGCTACGTGCGCGATCAGAGAACGGAAATGTCAATTTTCTGTGAGCCATTATTTGTGGTGAGTTCAATTTATACATATGTAGTTAAAAAAAAAAAAATAGGTTATTTTCTTCAATGTCTTTTTATCTGCATAATGGTTTTCGTTAAAGGATGATTCGTCCCTAGAGTGCTCGGAACACATGAGATTCTGTAGAGCAAGAAATATAATGATAAATTTTACGGACCTGCTCCAAAGAAAAGAACCGATACGCTACAAAATGGATGTTTTAAAGGAGGGTCAAATTGGTGGATACTGCACGTATGTACAGAACCACGCGATCTGTACGACGAATTTTGATTACAAACTTAAGCACTATCTCATGTCTTTAAACCAGATTAAACGAGAAAAGATTGCAAGATAATGCGGATCATATTAGTCCATTGCAATCGTGGGGACCAGAGTTACGAAATTTCCGGAAGCTACCTCGACCACCGATCGTTAATGGCGACTGTGATATCGTTATCGAGAAGCCAACGTACATAATGAAAATAGATGCTAGTAAGTCGTAAAAAAATTAATCCTATGCTGAATTTCGTGCCGGCGAACACAAAGTTTAGGCACCCACTCATCCGCCGAAGTCGTTCTGTTTCAGTAGTAAATATGTATCATCATTTTTGCGACTTTTTCAACTTGTACACGTCATTGCACGTAAATCTCTCGCACCCCGCCGCATTCAGCACAGACAATCACATAATGATCTGGGAAAGTTACAGGTAACCGACACCAGCACAACAGGAAAATTACGAGATATTAGATACCAATCGTACTCTCGCTTTCAGTTACCGCTCGGCGTTTCAAGACACCTTCGAGGCTTTCACAAGAAACCCGCTGTGGGATTTAAAAACTTTCCGCGGAGAAACTGTCTGTTTCAAAAATCTCGTATTTCCGTTACTGCCGCGAATGATCTTTGGTCTATACTACAACACGCCCCTTGTACGATTTTCTTTTTACTCTTTGTTTCTTTTTTATTTCCAGTTACTATATAAACTTGTAAAGTTTCTTCTAAAATAACATTAAATACGTCGCAAATGTTTCTTAATTTATAGATTTATCTACTGACATTTTTATTAATTGAATAATGTTTTAGATTTATGGCTGTGAGAAAAGTGGATTATTTAAGGCTTTTGGTGACCATGTGTTGCATAGACTAAGCATACCTCTTCACGAAAGAAAAAACCAAAGGATACGTGTGACCCTGCTGAGCAGAGACACACAATACAGAAGAATTTTAAATGAAGACGAGTTAGTGAAAGCTTTGAAAGAAAATACCGAATATAGAGTTAGAAAGGTAATTGAATTAACTTGATTATTATTTGAATTGATTTGATGATTTCCATTTCTATCCACCTCTAGTGATATCCCATTGAGTTTATTGATTCGCTGAGGAAGTGACTGAGTGTTTCATTCTTCTTACCACACCATCTGCATAGGATGCTAAGCCCTTGCATTTTGTGTAAGCAGCAATGCAAGTTGCAGTGTCTGGTTAAGATTCTCAGACTTCTACTAGTTCTTTTGTTGAAATTTATGATATCCCTTTCTTTCATCTATCCTCATTCGATTTTTTCTTTACTTGTACCTTCTACTTTGGTGTATCGCCTGCATATATGTGATCAAAATATTATTCTTGCAGGTAGTCTATAATAAAAAGGTTCCATTCAAAAAGCAATTAGAAATTACAAGAAACTCTGATATTTTTATTGGTATTCATGGAGCTGGATTATCACATTTGATGTTTCTACCAGATTGGGCAGCTGTGTTTGAGATGTATGTGTGAATAATTTTTATCTCAAGAAATTACTGTATTTCTAATGTATGATTATTGTTTAGATATAACTGTGAAGATCTGGGATGTTACAAGGATCTTGCTCGTTTACGCGGTGTGAAATATTTCACATGGCAGAATACTTCAAAATTAGTACAACAAGATCCCGTAAGTATTGATCTATTATTTATGTATATTAAGTAAAAGCATAAATTAACATTTTTTATAAAAGTAATTTAAATTTTACGTAGGGCACGCATCCTGATGGAGGAGCTCACGCAAAGTTCACGAATTACAGCTTCGATGTGAAAGAATTTCTACGTATAGTTTCACTCGCCAGAGATCACGTGAAAACTCATAATGCTTTTAAAAAATTCATTAGTAAAAGAACACAAGGAAAGAGGTCGGAAGTAAAAAACGAAACTGTAATAACAAACGACGTTAAAGACGTCAAAACTCCTAAGTCAAAAGAATCAACCGAATTAAAGCCTGATGTTCAACCCAAAGATGAGTTATAACCAATTTTTAGATACTCAATTTCGAGAACAACGAAACATTTTAATGTTTCGTAAACTAATGTATAGTTAAATCGAATGAAACAAATGACTTGTTACCAATTAAGTTTTTTTACTTATTTTTATACCGTCACATGTACATACTTATTTTTATAAAAAAAAGTAATAAATAAGAAATGAAATTTGATATGTATACATTATGGCAGTGACAATAGTCTGAAATTGTCAAATGTCAATAGTAATACTATACTACATTTAGTATGCTAGTACTATAAGCACATTTGGCCCACAGGTATATACATAGTACAATATACAAAATTGTATTCTTTCAAAAAAGATACAACAAATCATATACTTTATAACTTAATTTGTACCTGTTTTCTATATAAAAATAAAACTGATAGTATATTTACAGCCATATATACAATCAATATTTGTAATGCTTTTAACTGATTTACATATAGTGTACGTATTAACATGTTAATACCACCAGTCATTAAGTTTGCCAGTAAAAAGAAGAATAAACCATTATAATTAACAGCTTCAAATATTTCGATTGTATTGCTGATCGGACTTTTCTCACATTCTTTAGGTATAAATTCTCGTTTATTTCTTAAATTTGCTTTACGTATTTTGGTTTTTCTTTCTATGTTTCCTGAATCTGTAGTTATATGGATTAATATGTCAATAATTACTTCCATTAATAATAATAATGTAAGCATCATAGCACCCAAGGTAAGTATCCACATACAATACCCTGCATTTGCTAAACGTCTTGAAACTTTAAAGTATGCATCACAAAACAAAGTGGCTGCACATGCTTGTGCTGATATCAAGGACAATTTAATACACAATATCATAGAGTCGTTGTAACTTGCATCGAGTCCATATCCAAAAATTTTCATGAAAAAGGTTTTGTATTTGTATTGCACCGTATTTTGTGCGTACGAGTTATAATAAGTAGAATGTATCAACCTCCCTACTGCCACACCTATTAAATAAAGTCCTACATATCCAGGTACAGAGACTACTCCTTCTCGATTAGCAGATACAAAATCATCCCTTGGATCATTACTCAAGACCCAATCCTTCAATCCTTTAGTACTTAAAATATATTCGTGCATTGTTAAAATCCAGATACCTGATAGTAAAGAATACCGTGAATTAATAGTACTTGTTATAGAACTAGTAAATATTTTCACAAATGCAAGAGTTATGAAAAAATTCCAATGAATTCCATATTCGGTCACATGCTTCTGATATCCCATAATTTCAATAGCAACAGAACGACCAAAGCCCAATATCAAAAGTGGAATACAACTTTTAGCTGATTGTTTCATATTCTTTGATAAGGTATGGAAGAAACCTATTCTTGGTTTAGGAGCAAAGTCTCTGGCTTCTGGTGCTACTAAAGCATTCGACAATACAAATAATCCAACACCAGTGTCCATTAAACTATACCCGAATACCTCAGTCTTAGCAAATTTGCGAGGAAAAATACGAAAATCTATAGCTAATATACATATTGCTGATATAATATTGGTTAATGCTCTACAATATGTAATGAAAGGCTTTTTGTCATAATTAGTCCTTGTATTATACCTTGATAACGAATTTGAATTAATTGCCAATAGTAAGATATTAATAATAGATATCAACATCATAGCGCAACACACAGTTATAATATACTCTGATAATATGGTACAACATAAAATAGATGGGATTACCAATAGTATAAATTCTATCAAAACTCTAATATTTTTGTGAATAAGCCTTCCCAGTAGACCTAATGTAGTTGTAGTTAAGAGAATGGTACAAATATTTGGCATGATTGCATAAATAACTTCCCGAGCTGTTGTTCCACCATGATTAGAAACAAATGCTTCTTGTTCTTTGCGATACACATTTTCGTTCCATATATTTGACATATCTGTCAAATAAATAATTATTTTTCCTGTTGTACAAATTTCTGGAAAAATATTTTTCATTTATTAACAAATCATCAATTATAATGTACACCGTCCGATGTTAGCAGAATTTTAAAAATATAACGACGAAAATTTGTTTATCATTATATACTTACTCAAACGAGTATTTCCTTATTTAATCTACATAAATATACAAGTATCAACAGAAAATGTTTATACATGCATATTTTGTCATAATGACACGAGTGAGCAAGAACAACATACAAATCAGTGATCATCAATGATCATCATGAGTGATGCTTGCCGGGTCGAATTTTTTCGCTTATCCACGGCGAACATAGGCTATTTCCGCTTTTGAACATTTTCGAAAGGACGAAACGAGACAAACACATCGGCAAACTTCAGATTTATTCGAAGCCTAGGGTTTTGCCTATCTCTGGCTGTGATAATGTCATTATTACTAGAGACAGAGAAAACCCTAGGCTTCGAATAAATTTAAAGTTTGTCGATGTGTTTGTCTCGTTTCCTTCTTTGGAAAATGTTCAAAAGAGGAAACAAGATTCAGATTTATTCGAAGGCTAGAGTCGGCTGTGAATGCTGTGATAAAGTACATCGTTCGATCGTAAACGAATTTGTCCATGAAACCATATATGATTGGATTACAAATAAAGCGACTAAATATCGCGTTCGAAGTCACATTTTTAATAATATTTATATTCTATCAGCTCTCGTTTTTTTTTCCTACATATTGTTTATGGTTGTTACGTTGAAAAAGAACAATCGAGTTAGTGGAGACAATCGAACGAAATGCGTTCATTGAAATCACGATTGGGTATTGTCATTGTTCCGTCGATAAGATAGACAAATTCTTGATCAGAGAGAAGAAGACGTACCGTAGAGAAATATAAGCTGTGGTCAATTGGTCGAACGATTGGTGATCGAGTGGTTTTACTGTTCCGTACAGTTCCGTAAATGCGGATGTGTGTCGGATCAAAGACGATTATTGTGCAAGTACCGAGTACTTCTCGAAACACGAAATCTGAAGGTCGATAATAAACCGTGGTTGAGACGAGTGGTGCGAGTTAACGGTCCCTTGGTGCTTTCGTCATGCTGTCAAAATTGATGAGGAAGACAGAGTTGACGGGAGATGCTCGCTGATATGGAGATTATCGAGAATCCTCTAGTCCGCGGGCCGCCTCTACTTAAAAGGTTTCCCGGAAGTTTTCACACGAGGAACACGCAAAAAGGTGCGAGTCGTCGGGCAACTTGCTGTCCTGTCGGCTTCCTAAAATTTTAACGTCGATATCATCTGATTCCCGACTTGACTCGCTCGTTTGTTTTCTATCTCACTTATCATCCTCGAAGGATACCGCAACACGTACCTAAATCAGTGTTATCCTCGCGTTGCGAGGTCCTTTTTTCGCGATGGCCTCGTCATCGAAGACTCCGTATCAAGAATTAATGGACATGGGCAAACGTGATGCAGCTGCTCGTATCTATGCAGAATGTAGCAGTAATCCAAACCGTAACACTAGTTGTCCACCTCATCTTAAAGGATTGTTAGATATACTCTTAGATCCTAGTACAGCCATCGATGAATGCGAAACCATTGACTGGTGTAAATGGTTGATGGCTGGTGGTCGTACTCCGGATGAATTTGCTAACGCAGGTATTGTACAAACTTTTTTCTTTTGATCACGAAAATGTTATAAATTTATCGTTAGCAATGTTATTGTATTAACCCTTGGAGGATATTTAACAAAATACATATAAATATTTTAGTGAGAATGTACGATAATGCTACAACATGTGGGCTGGTTTGGACTCCCAATTTTGTAGCATACCGTTGTCGTACTTGTGGTATATCGCCGTGTATGTCCCTGTGTACAGAATGCTTTAAAAGGGGCAATCACTATCGTCATGACTTTAATATGTTTCTCAGTCAAGCTGGAGGTGCATGCGATTGTGGTGATACATCGGTTATGAAAGAAACAGGGTAAGAATTTATATAATATATTAGGGTGGAATGATCTGAAATTATTTTTATCTATGAATGTATCATTTCTTGTCTTCATAGATTTTGCGACAGACATGGTCCAAAAGCTGCAGTTTGTAAATCTACTGCCCCTTCAGATTTATTGTGTGTAGCAGAAGCAATGATGCCTAGAATAATTCTTCGTTTTATTCAACATTTGCGCGATATCTGGTATTTTAAATATTTCTATATGTATTTTTAAAATTGTAAACATTGCACATTTCGTTTATAATAACTTTCTTTTCTGTTTATTTCAGTAAAGTTGACGGACCAGATTATAGAGTTGCTATCGAAGATGCAGATGGGTATTTAACCATGCTTCTTGACTTGAATAAAATGGGTGCATTAATGAGGAACGTTATTACATCGGCACTTACGAATCCGCAAAATTATAGAGATCTCATGAATCCGTCTGTCTCGACTGGACAGACAGAATACGATATTTATTGTCGGGATAGTAATAAAATATATCAAGATGCAGTGAACTCCTTACCAAATCCAGAACCACCTGATGAATACAAAGGTAAGCTTACGCGCATTCCGTCAACGTATATCGTTAATTTTTATGTGTATAACTAAAAAAGAATTAATATCTTATTTCTTGTTTCAGACTGTGCATCGTTACAAGAACATTTAGAACATACTACTTTCTTAGAAGAATTAGTGTTCTGGACGGTAGCTTACGAATTTCCGCAAAAATTAGTTTGTCTATTATTGAACATGCTACCGGACCCCGATTATAAGGAAGCACTTACTTGCGCATTTGTACTACATTACAGTAGAATTTCGATGATACTTGAACGTTCAACAGATCCTGATACTTTGAGCAACAGAGTAGTCCACGTTAGCGTACAGGTGAGAATCATAAATGAAGCAATATTTTCTCTCATAGAAAAAAATTTTTTCCACGCCTTTGTGTTTTATATTTCAGCTTTTTAGTAACGAAAGTTTAGCATTGAAAATGGTGGATAAATTAAAATTATTACACGTTATGGTTATTAGTTTGAAATACATGATGAATAAGATTCTAATTAAGAATACCTTACACGGTATGTACGTTTTATGGCTTTATAATACTGAGATGTACGAAATCTGAAATTATATACAATTACTTTCGTTTTCAGACGCAGACAAAAATTTTCACTTTGTAGTAGACTGTGGTCGACAAGTGATGAAAGAACATTGTTATTGGCCTCTTGTGTCAGACTTGAATAATGTTCTTTCACATAAGCCCGTAGCTGTTCGATTTATGAGCGACAATACACTTTTGGAAATGTGGTTCGAGTTCCTGTCCATGTTTCAAGGTATCGTCTACCTTTCATAAAACATAATTATTAATTGGCGAAAGAATATTTTAAAGCTGTTCGTTGTTTTTGTTATAGGAATGAATGTTAATCAACGAGAATTAAGACAACATATTGAATTCGAACCTAATACGTACTATGCAGCGTTCAGTGCCGAGCTGGAAGCCAGCGCGTATCCGATGTGGGCCTTGGTTTCCCATTTGCGTGGTCCTGAAAGTGCAACTCTTAGTAAGAGAGTGCTTACGTTTTGTCTTACCGCTTTGCAAGATTGGTTAGATGCTGTGAATTACACGCATCCAAACGAAGTAAGTAAATTTGGGTATATGGATGGCTTACGATCTATTATAATTAAACACATTTATCATTTTATTTCTAGTACATTAATTATTTAATAATTCAATCCTTGCCCATGTTTGTTTCAGAGTGATAGTTTGCAAGTATCGTTTCATCTACCACTTCATCGATATTTTGCTGTGTTTATGTGTCAAGCTATTCGTCAACAAGGAGCGACACTTAATGAATTGTTACCTTCTACTGATATGCTACATCTTTTAATGATGCATCCTTTACGAGTTCAGGTGAGTATACTTTTCTGTCTTTTGATATTCTTAGATTCCTTTGATCCGGGTCATAAAATGCATACTTATTTTTTAAGTAACGTTATTGAAAAGTATGTACAAAATATGCGTTTAATGTGTTCTTGTTTATATTTGGTTAATTATAAATCACAGGACTTTGAGAAGTCAGTTTATAAAATAATCAACTAATACAGATTAATGATATAAATTTCTACTTGCATGAATATTTAAAAATTTTATGAAGTAACTGGATATTTATAACCTAGCAAACCGTAGTTATTCGTGATTTTGACAAACAAATAGAAGATACGTGTCGAAGTTAATAGTATATTTTAATTTCAACTAAATGAAGTTTCAAATATCATATATATGCTAAGATGGCACAAAAATGAAAGAAACCAGAAATATTTGGTAAAAACTATTTAAAAGAAAAATTGTTACAAATTTCGCAAATGTTATAAATGTCTGTGGAAACGGAACACGAATAACATTGTCAAACATAAATCAATGAAAAAGGTATGAAAATGGAAATAATATATAAAAATAACATCAATATTCGCAATATCAATATTACGCTTATGTTACTAAATTTATAATGGTTTTAATTCACTAAGAATGGTGTACCAATAACCGGTTGTTCAGTTCCCAAATCAACTTGCAAATGCGGGCTAAAATCATATGTGATCAGTTTTAACGCCACGTATCCTCCAGACATGCTTCTGCCTTTATGAAATATTCCGGCACCCGCGATTGGCACCGGCGGATTTGATTCCACCCGTTGAACATCGATGAATGGTATCGTGTTTTGTGCAACATCCTCGGTACGACTACTTGGCGCAAAATTCAAATACTGATTTGGTTTTGAATCTGGCACTGTTGGTACAGAAAGACGAGTCGGTATATCGGCTTTTGCTAATTTCAGTTCATCTCTGCAAGTTAAAATAGCGGATAGAATAAATTGAACGAATAAACAAATTTGTCAAACAACGAAACAGGTTTACCTGTCAGTAGCGTCGTTAGCTATCCAGAAACTCTTTTCTAATGGTTTGTTTAGTTTTCCAGTTATGAAATCAAATGGTGACACCTTTATCTCTAAATTCAAGTGGCTTCCGAGCTTTCGAAATCTGACACCTAAAAAAGTCGACAATTGTTAATACAATTTTCACGATTAAAGTAAAAAGTGCAAGTTCGACATCATACACCTGTTAGAAGATGATCCTGAGCTGGTACCAAGTCGTCTAGATCTAAACCTCTTTCTTCCCAAGCTAAAGTGTGGTAATCAATGCCATTCTTTACATTCTTATCTAATATGTTGAAGGCCTCAATCGGTTTCCAGCTGACAGTTGTTTTATTGATGTTTCCACGTGGCAGTAGTTCACCTTCTTGTATTTCTATATGTATTACTTGATTCACTTTCTTGAATGCAATGCCTGTTATAACCCTGAAACGAACAGCGTATTGTTATTAATGGAATCAACAATTTTTACTAAATCTCATTAAATTCTTCGTAACGTTTACTTATTATTCGCCACATCGGAATGGACACTTTGCAAACTGACATATCGATCAGACTTCGCGGTATGATCGTCGCAATAACAGAAACAATAACTGCAGTGCCAGAACAACCAACGCCACCAGCTTTCGACTTTAGTGTATCCATTCTTGCAGTAGCCCTTCTGTCCGTATACGATACCGTTTTCGTATTGTACACGTTCATATCTTCGGTCATAGTTTCTGTCCTAAAAATGTACGAAATGTATTTACGCACGGTATTCGCCTTACGTCGTTTAACGTAAAACAAAATTCAATTTACCGAGGAACAAACCCACATGTCGGAGTCGACGTATTCGCATTCTAATATTTTACCATTACATTGTCGTTGTTTAGCACAGTATTGATCTTTATAACATCCTTGCACTTTCGCGTACGAATAATAAGCACAATTTTGACGGCAAGATGATTCACGATTCAGATCTACTTCGTTTACTATGTATCCTTGAAACAGATCAATGAACTTTGTGTACGTTTCATCTGAAAAATGAATTCGCACGATCATAATCATTGGCGCGAGAGTGCGTAAACACACAAATTTACCTAATTCTTGTTTTCTCGCGTCGCATTTCCAAAGATCTCTAGGAGCAAAGGCCATAGCAGTTTTCACAGCTCTTACGGTTTCGGATGTTCTCGTCGCGTATTGTTGCGTTACTAGATCCATCTCGTCCGTGAAGTTAGACCCTAGATTAAATTTGTAAAAATATTTATCGCTTTCTGACATAGGAAAAGGTATATTAATGTACATTCTTAGAATTATCCACGGCGCCTTTGTCAAAGTCACCGATAGTTTATTTAAACGAAAAATAATTGAATAAGATATAAGAAAATGACAGCGAATTATACAGCTTACGCTCGATAATTGCTATACCTGGATTATAGACTCGTAGCAACATGTAAGAGAATTGTATCATGCTGTACCCTTTAATTTCCGTGAGAGTGACCGTGTTATATAGATTGTAGAGTAATTGTTGCAACGACTGTTGTTCGTTGCAAATTAACGAGGATGAATCCTGCACGTGCAAAATATAAATTCGATCAGTAATTGCGTATATACAGGAGGTGTCGCTAAATATCGTTTACTCGAGAGAAAAAAGAAACCGTCCGTTGTACATGAATACTATTAGAAATTTTGTCATTGTTGCTATTGTTGTACCTTGTAAGCTTTAACGAACAATTTGTCGTGTATTATGAAGTCGGTTACACGAGACAGCGCGTTTATTATCGATGCGTTTGGATCGTGTAAAATAGTTTCGGAGAAATCTGCTAGTCTCTGAACATCAAGGGGCGCGGTATGGTTCAAAATTTCACTTTGCATTTGCCTGAAAACTTTGTACAGCCCGTCGATGCTTTTCAATTCGTTTTCAGTTCGAGCCCATAGCAGAATCGAACTCAACGGATTCAAGTATTCGTAACCACCGCTTGGAAACTTTTGTTCCAGCTCGTTCCCAAAGGTCTTGTAACTCTTTATAAGACTGAAATACTTTTCGTCTTCGAATCCTACGACCCCGAAGCTCGCCTGCGATAAATCTCTTTCTAACGTTTCTTGCAGTCGAAGGAGTTTGTATCTCATTTCATCAATTATCGTGGCATCCTTATTCAAAGCACATTTTACTCTCCATACTATCGAGAGAAAAAGCAGGCAGGGGATAAATTTCGTTTTCTTCATTTTTTTTTTTTTTTTTTTTTTTTTTTTTATATATATATATATATATTTATTTATCTTTCGATGCGCCTTCGGTTTTGTTTATATTCTATTTAATTACACACGGAGAGAGGTGGAGTCTCTATTTCCGATCCGTTACATCCTGCGATACCTACGTGTGCATATGTAGGTTACAAGATTTGTGTGATAACGTATATGCAATTTTTATTCTCTCAGGTTTCAATTCGCGGCTGAATAACACTGTCCAACAAATTTAATCTTTTTTTTAAATTCCGCGATATCCACTAGGTGATTCTTATAGGGTTCCTATTCCTAAATACGAATCTGAAAGTGAAATATGCTCCATCGTCCTTAGTTTTCGAGAAATTCGAGATTTTGTAAATACGGTCGATTTTTAGAGAAAACGTAGTACTACTTGCGACCTGGGTGAACAACTTTTCATTAATATTCAGTATAATTATAGATAGATGGTACAATACAGATTTATTTACGTGGAAGAATGTAAAAGCAAAGTTTGAACGTATTTAGGAAGATCAATATTGGAAACAATTGGCTTGCAACCATTATAATACCCTTGGTAAACGTTTTTATGCCTCCCGGTACGTTATACATATAATATTCGGTATACATACAGATAGCTTACAAACACATGTAAAGCGAGCTTGATATAAGGGTCGAATACGTTGATTATCTTAAAACTAGATACCTCGGTAGTCAAATTGAAACGACATCGCGTGTCTCATTCGTGGAAAAGATAACGAAAGCGTCATTTAGTTCGCACGATTGTAATTTACGCTGCACATAGATTGGTCCTTGATTAATGCCCTTTCCCTGGATTATATTTAATTTATTTACAATGAGTCACATCCGCGTGTAATGATTAACACTTCCGGTCGTTTAGAGCTTTTCATCCGTATCACTATTTTGCGAATTTCTGTATAGAGTATTTTCTAACATTTTCGTGGAAATGTTTAGGAAGCAACGTTTCTCGAAAAGAATTGAAAAATAGTACGGTCAAAGTTCTGTTTTCAATTGATCGCGGTTTAAAAACTTCTTCCTATCGATATCGCTAAATGTCTAAGTTCATAACTACGCAATTACATGCGACCTGTACGAGATATTTACTCTAAAGAACGTAAATGATTGAACAAAAATTAGTTCGATCGTATTAGGAGTCCTACCTAAGGTTTCTTTTATGTACAGTGCGATCTTATTAAGCAGACTTTTTACACGGTCTTATTTCATTTAGAAAAGCCACACTTTTTAAATAATAATTCATTTCTGTAATATAGTATTAGGTTGTCTCAAAAGTTTCTTTCGCTTTATTAACACGTTGCCTGCCAAACGAATATTCTTGAAAATTTCTGCTAAGATTGAATATTATTTAGACTATCGGAGTCTAGGTAATGAAACATTTATCGTGGTATTCAGTTTTGTAATTACATCAAAATTCAAGAATTTCATTTAGATTCATCTCCTGTGACGTCCAACTTTCAGAATTGATCTTTTTAGTTCTTGAGTGAAAAACACTGTCACCCATATATGGGTGACATGGCGATCAACGTGTTAATAAGTAATACATGCACAATATTTTATGTTTTATGTTACATTACTGAATTGTGCACGATTCATTTTGCTCCATTACTGTTACAACATGAATATCTATGAAATTAGATTATCTATTTATATAAACACGACCACAGAAAATAATTGAGTGCAACTCGCGAAAGAATCTTTCGGGACAACCTAACATTTTAAAGAAGGATGTTCTTTATAATCTTCGCGATCAAGGGTACATGTTACTCAATTCATCAATTACGTCGAATAATTACTATCGACGAAAACGTAACAAGTGCGTGCTATACGCGAAATATTTTCGAATTACTCGTGTTTACATAGGATAGACTTTGTCCACGTAAACAGTCATACGGCACAAAAAAAACGATGGAAGAAACTTTGAGGTAGTACTGTTATTCCAGCGCGATATCTCGGGACAAGATCTCTCGAAACTATCTGTTGAATTCAACGATATTTATACGATAATAGATTCGTCGAGAACCCAAGAAAAATTTATTTGCTTCGTCAACCCATATTGTTAAAGCATACTGTCAAAAGCTTTCACTGTAAACGAGCGCAGAGCAGTGTTTCGAAGTATATGGATCACAGGAGGACAATGGGGTCAATCGAAACCGTTTCGATGACGATAAACAATAATTGGAACCTGAGAGAATATCGTAGCAGAATTCCTCTTACGTTGATTACTATTTGAAAGTTCTTTAGCTGCAAACTGTAACTCGAGTTGTTCGAATCCCTGTCACGATATGCACTGTTGCACAAACATTCGTTCTCGGTGATCGTTTCTCGGAACTGTATTGCCGAGCGTGCTTTTCATACGACGAAAGAAAGCAGCGAGACGAACACTTTTCTCGGTTGCTCAGACACAACTGAGAATTTCGCATCGTTCTCCCGTCATTTTGCTCGATGTTCCCTTCCCTCTTGCCCTAAAGAGTCGTTTAATGGCGCATACGTATCTCTGCGCATGCTCCTCTTCATTCTTATTCTCCTTGACGTTTATACAAAGTGCATTGCATCGCCGAGAAAAACATTCTCCGCCGACTCTTCGAACGAGATCTCAGTTCATGTGGAGCATAAAAAAATATCCTACCTAACTATAAACGTTCCTTTACGAAAATTATTTCGTAACGTTTCCTATCAACGACTCTTATCAAATACTCATTATCTTCCATGAGAAAAAAAAACAGGAAATATGTAATTTTTATAGTAGTTTGGTACAGATAGAATTGTACGCGAAATAGTGTTTCTTCCGTATCGCGCTTATTGTTTCCTTTGTCGAATTTATCATGTACCGCGAGATAATCGGCACAATACGTACAAAAGAAACTCCAGACGAACATGCATCGCGAAGATTTCGAATTGTCGATGTATTCTTATTTGTCAAAATTAATCTTGACCTTACTATGTTATGCGTTAAATTATCAGCTAATTTTTTTTACACACCGTTCGTGAAACAAGATATATTAATTCGAAGTACCGTGAACAATACAGGGTGTCTCAAAAATATTGTAACACCTTAAAAGGGGTTGTTCAGGAGGTGATTTGAAACAACTTTTTCCTTAGCGAAAATGTTGTCCGAGGCTTCGTTGAGGAGATATTAATAAAAAAAACCCGACCAATCAGAGCGTGAGTATGCCGGTTGAGCGTAGGCTACACGATAGGCAGCCGCGCTCATACGCTACCGCGAGCGCTCCAACGGTATACGCGCGATCTGATTGGTCGGGGTTTTCTGTTAATATCTGCTTAACGAAGTCTCGGACAACATTTTCGCTAAGGAAAAAGTTGTTTCAAATCACCTCCCGAACCACTCCTTTCAAGGTGTTACAACATTTTTGGGACACCCTGTATTGAGAACGGACCATTTGATAGTTTAATTTGTTACTGCTTTATCGCTATATCAACGTTACTATAGAGCTTGTAAAACGCGTAACGCCGGATGTCACTTGATCACTACGATAATAACCCGCACCTAATACTTCTGTCACGATATGACTTTTGTTACGAGATTCCAATAGCAGACATTCTTGTCTCGAAGATATCCTCGATCGAAAATGTTTATCATCGACAACTTGAAAGATTCGTAGATTTATTTCACGTGTAAATGTAAAGTTAGAGAATTGAAACGATACTCGGGGGAAAAAGTACGAAATGAAAAATATTTGAAGTATCGTCGTTACTTACTCTCATCTGTTTCGACAATAGCACAAGAATACTTGTGGTGAAGGATTCTTCGGACCAAGGAACAACGATTCGATGTATACTCTTCAAAAGATCTGGAAGAGCGCCTGATCTGGAAGAGACACACGTCCTCGCGAAATCTTCCAACGTGTATCTCTCGTATTTCCTTTGTGACTCGACGTAGGTCAAAAAATTCTTATACAAATCGTTGATTTGGCCCAGATATTGATCGACCGTACGTAATTTATGATCCAGCCTTTCTTCCAAGGGTAAATCCGTTAGAAGTTTAGCCATAATCGTGTCGATGCGTATTTCCATTTTGTCTTGGTAATTGTCGATTTTTTCTGATACTTCCGATATCTGTCTCGCTATTTCTTTCTCCATTCTACGAACGAACGGGTAACTGAGGTCCTCATCTCCAGGATTTCTGGGACGTATTAATTCCCATGATTCAAGAATGTCCATCAATACTTCGCCTCCGAATCTTAACGTGTCTCTTGCATCTATAATATTGCTCAAATCGAATCCGTTTATAGACTGTCCTAGACTAAGTAGGAAACATAAGCAAACTATTTTTGAATTAATTGCGATCATCTTCACTCAGTCGAATTTCAAACTTGCAAGCGAAACAAGTTTTAGGTAGAAAGTAAACCGCGGTATTGGCACATGTATCACTGGTCGAGTCCTGTTCAGCTTCTTTTTTCCTTTCTTGGCCGATCGTTGTCTTCTCCTTGTTAATAGCGCGAGTCAGAAAGAGTTATGGAGAGAGCAACAAACATCGTCAAAGAGTTGTTAAGATCGATCACGCGTGGAACAATCGAGTTCAGCTCTTCCAAAACTGAGTATCTGGTCCTCGTTCATTGAAGGTTAAGCTCGGTTGAGCCGTTACGAACTGACAACACAGCGGTTTGTAATGTTTCCCAGTGTCGGGATTGGTCGACTTCGTGGGGGGAATGCTATGACACCACAGTAAAAGTCACACAGAGGAAACACAATGTCCAGATATTTCAGAATTCATGATTCATATTTTCCCTCCCCTATGCGTAGCTTATTGTTCATGAGCATGTATACTATTGGATTCCTAAACTTTTAACTTGCATTTTCGGACTTTTCAGGTCAAAAACTACAAGATTTAATAACTTTTAACAAGAAAAGAAAAAATGGGCCTCTGAGACAAAGTTCAGCCATATTATTTCATTTTTCATACGATTATATTATATCTGATCTAAACTGATAAATGTATCAATAATACAAATTTTCCTCTATACATACACCCATTCCTTTCTCTAACGATCCTTAAATATTCTAACTATATGCAAGTTATCGAAATTTTTGTTATCCTATTCTTAACATCGTCTTATAATAATTACTAATCAAATTTCGGTCGCGATAAGACACGGCAGAAGTGAAAATTACGTCAGGCGCCAAACTGTTTTGTTTTCAAAAGTACCGTTACATACTCACGTATCGTCCATCCGTTGAAAGATAATGTCTGTAGATACTTTTAAATTTATCCTATCGATTTCTTTACTTCAAAAATTATGTTTAACGAGTATGTTTATTCAGGTTGCCTGTTTTGAAGTTTTGAATGGATTGTGGGTCCGTAATGGACTTCAAATAAAAGGTCAAGCTATGACATATATACAGTGCAATTTTTGCAATTCTATGGTGGACGCAGATCTTTATTTGTTGCAAGTTTGCGCGACTAAATTACAACCTGATGTCTTTCTAAACACCGTTATCGAAAAGTAAGCTTACGATATACATATTATAATAAATCTATTTCTTTGTTTCATTGGTTTCATGCTTAAAATAATAACTGATGATTGTTTTAGGTTTCATGTAAAGGAATGGATGAGCTTTTGTTTATATCATACACGACAAAATGAATATCTAGAAGGAGAACACGATACTCCTATGTTGGAAAGTTGCTTAACATTTCTGGCTACATTGGTTAACGTTCGAACAAATTTAGGGTTGTCTGATCCTGAAATGTCATGTTTGGAACTAGTTACTTTATTATGTATGGGGGACAAGACCCATAGTCAGTTAATGGAGTTGATGCCTGAACGCTGTGGCACCCCGCAAAATAGAGATTTTGAATCTGTTTTGGCCGATGTACGTAGTATTTCTTTCGTGTATTTCAAATGTATATCTCTAAATAAATATAAAATTTCACTTATACGATACGGTTACAGATAGCGCAGTATAGAGCTCCAAATTTAGAAGCTAGCGGTAACATGCAACAGGGAATGTACGGCCCTAAACCACGCGTGTGGGATGAATTATTTGATCCTTTGCATGTTTTATTAAGGGCAGTGCATAGGAGAGATTTTCAGATATCGATGGATCGTTTTACGGAATAGTGAGTGATAAATCTTATCGAAATAATCCAATTTCTTAAGGAACAAAAAGTATTCATGCATTTTTGTAAATTCGAAATGTATTTCGTCGTTACATACAAGTTTTCAAATTTGTAGCGTCAAACAATCGGGCAAGTTAAAAAACAGTGCAACAGCATGGCCACCATTTAGACATCCTGCTCCTGTTTCACCTGATTACGACGATCCACGGTGTGTGTTACGCACCAAAGTTTTTCATGCTATGATTTTAATAATTCTTTACAAGGCTGTGTATGGACATAATATATCAGAGCATGTCATGGCACTGACTATTTACTTATTAGAGATGGCAGTAATTACTGCGGAAGTACCTGACAAATCTGTAAGTAACGAATATTTTCTTTTATGTTTAATTATTTTAACTGTATTTTCTTCTTTTATTTTATTAGACGAATCCTTTGTGTCAGTACAACAGCGACACGTCGTCTCGCGTAATAAAAGATATGGATTTGTCTAGTTGGTATACAAGTGATAATTTGTCTGAAAATCTTAGGACGGTAATACCTCAAGTTATTAAAGTTCAAGAATCAGAACCAAGTAGTTCAGACAGTACGTAAAATCATCACTTACTCTGTTTGTTGCTTGTTTCGAATTTAATTGTCTTATACTCATCTTTCTTTAGGTGAACTGGAATGGGAAATTCAAGGTGAGATGACAGAAGTAGCAACTTCGCTTATGTTAAATGATGAAGGCTCCTTAGAAGTTCTGTCTCTTCCATCTTTACCTTCTTTACCAGCTTTACCTGCAACAAATGGTGGGTTCTAACTTTTTATTTTTCATATCATCACACATTTTAGTTTATTTATGTATAAGCTACAAAGGGACTATATTTTTTATATAAATTATGATACAGTTAAAATATTTTTGATCACAAAAAAAAATATTTATCGATCAGATTTAATATTGTAAAATGTAATATGCAATGACATAGTATTTTTTTTTTCTTTTTTTTTTACTATTTTATAGCACGTTTTCATATGACTATTGTACCTGAAGGTGAAATTGTTGCTATATCAGATAGTAATACCGACGATGAGTTATTACCTCTACAAAGAGCTTTGCCACCATCTACAGAAGAAACCATGGCTGTAGCACTTGAACAAGCTCCTTCATCGAACAGTATGTTATCTGTACTCGTTTTTTCTTAACTGTGGTTATATCCTTATTTTCAATATTGTACATATTATACAGAAACTCTGTTAATATTTATGAATTGTACATAGATATGGTCAGTGGACAACGTGCTATATCACCTGAGCCTCCACGGCTTGCTATTATGGCTGGGAATGAAATTGTTCCTGCTCAAACGGTGTATTCGAGACTAAGTACTTCCGGAATAACAACAACGACGGAAATCGTTCCATCTACATCAAATTCTCACAAACACTTCAAGAGAAGAGAACTTCTGGTAATAATTAACATTTATTTACGTTATACTATGTATTTTTTTATAATGTTTTCGCTTCGATTCATAACTTCACGATCTTTTCTTTTTTAGAGCGGGCAAATGCAACCAAAAACAGTGAAAGTAGGCGAGAGTATAATTTCGTTACTGTTGAGGTTACACTCGCAATTGTCAGGTGTTCCAGATAGTTATAATCCAGATCAAAGTGCAACAGCGGATAACGAAGCTAGTAGTAGTTCAGCTGCTACGCAACCTAAAGAGTCAAGGATCGGTGACGGCCCATACTTTATCGCGCAGCTTCTTAATAAAATAGCAAATCTAGATCCCATGTGCAAAGATACTATTGTTGATACTAGAAACAAGCTATGGCTCCCTATGCAGGAGTGCGAGGATAAACAACGCGAGAGGGAGCATCGGGAAAGAGAAGAGAGACGGAGACGGGCGAAAGAAAGGCAGCAGAAACTTATGGCTGAATTTGCCGATAAGCAAAAACAGTTTATGGAGAAAGCGATGAAAACAGGTAAAATAAATATGGAAATTGAATAAATAAAGCTCATAACTTAAAACAAAACTTACAACTTCCAGATGAAGCAGGAGTGTCTGGTATGGATTGGGATCAGGACGACAATACAACCAAATTAACTAGCAAGAAGGAATATGATTGTGTTATTTGCAATCAAACTACTCCCAGTAGTGAACACGCACCTATGGGTCTTGTTGTATTAGTTCAGGTAGTAGATAAATACCTTCATTCGATACTAAATTCTTCTTATGAAATTAGCGTAGTACTACTTTATATATTCTGTTTTTTTTTTAAGGCAACAAGTATTACCGGACATGAGCGACAACAAACAGAACGACTGGTCCTACCTACGTCTGATGATGATCCGCCTATACCAAAGGGTGACACGCGTGGTGCCCACTTTGATCGAACAATGGAGGAAATGACAAACCATTTCGAAACTGTAAACACTTTGATCTGACTTTGTGAAGTTAGAGATGGCGATAAAGCAAGTTATGTAATCTTAATTTAATCATTATAGGTTTCGTGGGCGTTGGCTGTTAACTTGGGCTGGGAAGGTGGCGTTCATGTACAAACGTGCGGACACCACTTGCATCTAGATTGTTTAAAGTCATATTTACAGTCTCTTCGTAACCAGCAAAGACACACTCTTGCAGTGGACAGCGGCGAATATCTCTGTCCACTTTGCCGACAGTTAGCTAATTCCGTTCTTCCTCTTTTTCCGAAATATGAAGAATGCGCGGCAGTGGTGCAGTCTCGTCATGCCTCCTTTTCTACAATACTCTCGGAGCTGAACAATTTTCTGAGAGAGATACGACGAAATCCAGTATGTTTTCGAAATTTCGATTAGGATTAAGTTTCAGGTTTTTCGATGATTAAACACGTTACGTTTATTATTTAGGTCTCGAGAAATTTGGCTGTGGCAATGGGAAAAGTCATGGAGGATATGACGAATTGCACATACTTAAAATATAAGCAAAAGAACTGTTCTCCTAGTCACCGAAGCTTGTTCCTTTTTGTAACTTCTGTAGCTCGAACTAATTTTGAAGTTGAACTCGTTCAACGCGGTGGATCGTTGTGCATCCCCTCACCCACTACGATACCTTTGACACCAAAACGTGATTGTATTGGTAAATTACTTTCAATTATGTACTTCAATTTGTATTACATGTATTAACTACATTGCCAGTGATACCCAAGCGAGTAATACATTGTCTAATTTATATTTGAAAACATAACCTTACTTTCAGTTGCACTTCTTCATGTTTTGGCAATGCATACGAGGATACTGACAGCGTGGCCAGTACATCGCACTTGGCAAGAGCTCTGTGGGATTCCCGCCGAACCTGTCACTCCACTCGCTCTGACACGCCACGAGAGAGAAATCCCTTTGCTTTTGAGAGATCCGACTGCTCTTCTTATACAGTTCATATTATTACTACCCCTACATTTGGATCAAAGTATGCCCATGTCTATACATATATATATGAATTCACTTTGAAGAAGTTCGTAACTCTTTACATAACCAAACAACAATTCTTTTCAGCGTATTTCTTTAGTGTGATAAAAGTAATGTACAACTTATTGTACTATCAAGTGATATTACAAATAAGTTGTGGTTTCACGCCTGCAGAAAGAAATACAATTTTGAGGAGAGCCCAATACGGCGAACGGCCTTCTACGTCTTCGGAAATTATACTCTCTAGAATCATCGAATACTTCAATAAAAGTGAACTTTACCGCACAGAAGATGGTACGTACAAGCCATCTACTTCGTCGTCTACATCGTACGCAACAATTAAAATGCACATAATCGAGAAGCAGGTCAGTGTAAACAGTTGATAATTTAATTATAGTTATTAGGAAAACTGGGTCGTATTAATACAGAAATTATGTTATTTCAGATACAATCGTTGTGCTTACCATTCTTACGAGTAGCTGCATTACTTCGCTACCATTTGTACGAACAACCTTTACCCTTAATTACAGCACCACAGACTGAATTCATGATATTAGTTTATTATTTGGAATTAGTTTCGGAAGACATGGATTGGAATGTCTATCATACAGCGGTAACTTTGAACTGGAAAGATAGCGAAGCAAGTGTTTCGGTACCACGTCTATGGTGTGATCAGATTCTCGCTTTTGCGAATCGAACTAACGCAGCGAGAAATTTGATTCTGGAACAACACATATCGTGGCAGGTACCGAAGTTACTCAGTCTTCCTAGAGAATACGATAAAATTTTTACGGTAAGAACTACTTACAGTATACGTTACTATTTAAATATTTTTTTTTATTTTTGTTTGATTTTGATTAATCACTGTTTTTTTCTTTATATTTTACAGTACTACCATAAACGACAATGCCGTCAATGTCATTCAATTCCACATGAGATTAGCATCTGTTTGTTGTGTGGCACCATTGTTTGCTTAAAACAAAGCTGTTGTAAACAGATGAACGTTTGCGAAGCTGTTCAAGTAAGTTTTATATAGGAATATTTCTTTATTCTTGTTTCCTTCTTATTGAACAACTTTTAATTAGAGACCACGGTTTTGAACGTGTATTTAGATATCCGGGTGTCCGCGTATTTCGATACCCGTGAAATAGGGATCTCTACTTTTAATTGTACGAATATAATTGCATTTTGCAGCATTCAATCGATTGCGGCGCTGGAACTGGTATATATCTGGTAGTAACATCGACTTATATTATTGTAATTCGAGGTCGACGAGCCTGTTTATGGGGCTCTTTGTATCTCGACGATTTTGAAGAGGAAGATAGAGATCTGAAGTACGTAATTTATCTTCAGCAGTACACTTTCCCTTTTTAAGATTCAAAAACAGTGTTTAATGTATTGATATTTTCATTACAGACGCGGGAAACCTTTGTACCTAAGTCAAGACAGATACCAATTATTGGAACAGCAGTGGCTAGCGCATAGGTTTGATCACACGAAAAAAACATGGGTATGGCATCGTGATTCACTGTAACAGTTCTAGGGCGTTATAAACCGATTATTTTTTAAACAAGTTGAAGACTTTCAACATGTTTATTCCCATACAATGCCTCGCCAAAAAATAACAGCGCTTTAAGAATTAACAGATCGCTCGAATACTGTATGGATATTATATTTATTACGATGCAAGTAAGTAGACTTAATATTGAATGAAAGTATTATAAACAAAAAACGAGCTGAGAGCTGAACTAAAATTGTTTATAGTCACAACACCTGAAAGATTATATCTGAAAAAATGTATGTTTTGAATTAAACCTTGTACATTTTATTTAAGAAAAAAAATATATAAATATATATATAAATATATATATTACGTCCTTTAAAAAAAAAGTACTTATCTAGTGAGTAGCATTTGTACTTTAGAGACGGAAACGATTTAATTCGTTAGTCGAAATTTTTGGTTATGCTAGAAAGTGAATAAGTTATGTTTTCGAAAATAATTAATTTCTTATTATTAATGAAATTTCCTTGTTGAGGTGGATTAAGTTTAGTGTGTGCCTTTTTAAAAGAAAAATACAAAAAGATAATCCGTTACGTCCTATAATTTATTACTGTAATTACTTTACCGATTATTAAAAATCTATATTTCAAAAGCATATTTTGTATTTAGATTATTCAGAAATAGAATTTTCTAGTTTACCATAGTTTAATCATCATAAACTGAAAAGTGCAAAGTGCGTTATACTAGATTTGTAAATACGACAAAATCAAAGACTGATGTCTTTATTGTAGGAACTCTGTTTCTGAATAAGTTTAGTAACAAATCGAGCTCGATACTAAAATCTCTGTATAATTTATCTGTAGTATCTCACTTAAAAGAACTCTAAATCGTTCTGGCAAACCTATAAGAATGATTACGACTGTTTACGAATTGCTAGCTACAAGGTGAAGGGAAAAATTTCATGTACACATATAACATTGGCAGAAATATTGTTCTAGTAAGAAACAATTGTACAGCGATGTTTTAGTCGTAACAAGATCGGCGTGCAAATTACGTTCAGCATATCGAATTAAGATCTTTTCGATTATTAATAAATGACCAGAGTCAGGCAGTGTAGTAATAAGCAAGATCGTTAACACCGCATAACTATTATTGTAAAATTTCCTCTTGTAAAAATAGCTTTTGTTTCAATTTCATAATGCGAATTCTTTTACAGCAGTTTATAAGAGACTGTTAGTCAATATGTCGCGGATCAATGAACTTGCGATTCAGACAATATTTGATGCATTATTTTTCTGTATGCATATTATGGGCTGTGTATATTAAACTATATAAATTCATTTTATCGAACGAACTATTTATCTACTCGCTGAATTTTTTCGCACCGGTGCATAAATACCAATTAAGACATTGAAATGTAGCAAATAAGTTGTTATTGCTTCAGAAGCAAATTTATGCAAACATTAATGCAACTAAAAATTTCCCTTTTGAAACTTTGCTCTCAAATAATTTTTTGATACTCACTAAAACGGTGTTTTTATAACACACACTTTCTGTTGAAGAATTTTGATTTTTGTGATACTACCAATTATTGAGGCAGAAAATTGCTTCGTCTAGACGTAGATCACTAAATATGTAAATATGTAATAATGATAGGACGCCACACAGTACGATTATTAGTTCAAGCAAGATAATCTGTGTATAGTTAGATGTTTTTAGGAATGTCCGCTTATAACATTAAGAATTTACGAACATTACATTAAAAAGTGCTAAAACGTAAATAATAATAGCAATTATCAATTTTGTTCAATGTATAAATAAAAACAATTCTATTAAACGAAAAAACTTTGTATTAACGATAATCATCTGAAACTATTTCTTAAGCCAATGATTCTTAATCACTGCGCCACGAATAATTGTAATGCCTTTTTATTTTTTGTGAAAGAAAATTAATTATTCTTATAAGTAATAATCGTGCAGAAAATTTCGCAAAATTGTCCTTACGAATTTTATTGGGATTGTCTTTATTAAAAGGTTAAGAATCACTGTTTTAAGTTTTGCATAAAATAAATAGAGAAAGATGAATAATTAATTTTATTTCTTAGATATTTATTACAGGTATTTAGCGCTCTAGGCAGATGTAAACTTGTTCGTGAAATCGATGAAACCCAGTAAACGTTAATCTAATGATTATTACAATGTTGTTTATATCAAAATCATTTTCTGCCTTTGATACGGAAATGGGAACCTATTTATATGAGAGCATTCTTACCATTAAACGCGTTCTACATTTCGTTAAAGAGAATACTACTAATGTTAATTATTATACCTTACTTATCCGTTCTAACTATAGAAATGCCTATTATGTAAATTGTTTTCGTTATTTCAAAAGAAGTTTATTTTATTTCCAAGAATTCGCTGTTTAAATATATGACAGTCAAAGAAAAATGCCGGTCAACTTTTACACATTAGTAAACAAAACTGTATTACTTATCTGTACAAGAATAAGTTTTATTACAATTCGTAGAAAGTTTATTCCATTAAATCATAGAGTAAATGTTTTGTAATGGAGATGCTTATACAGAATCAATATTTTCCGAATTAAAATTATATGTCTTTCAAGCTTAACAGATCAAAAGTCCTTTGATCCGTATTTTTCGCTGATGCTATTCAAATTGTGTTTCTAAAAAAAACATTATTAACATTTACATAAATGTAACGATATTTGTTGTCTTAAAAGTAAACTATAATAATGAAAATTCCTCGAAAAGCATCCACATTACTTACAATAAATTAATTACTCTATAATCGTCAAAAGAAGAAAAAACACTGTTTGGGTATTATTAACTTACGTTTTCAAAGTTAAAAATACTTCTATTACCATTAGAATTACATTGACAAGGCAAACAGAAAATATTACAATTACTCTTTTTTTTTATTATAGATGTACTTTAAATGCAACAATTTTGTTAAATCATGTTCATACTATATAATAATTATCGTGTTATAATTAACATTTTTTTTCGTGACATCTGAAATTTAGATCTACGAGTTTAGAAACTTAAAAAATATAAATACATTGTCAGATATTATTAATAGACAAAACTGATAACATTAAAGGTGATTTTTTTTCTTTTGTTATTTTCTTCTTTTTTTTTTACTTCTGATGAATGTAGGGTAATATTGCATGAAACTGACTGTCGAATGTCCTTAATCTTGCCTCAATACAGGAATGTAGAACAGCACATCAAAATTTTACATAAAAAAACCAAATTACATAATGCTTTCATAACATACATATACATACTGATAAACTTGTCCATTTCTTTATGATAGTCACTTTCACTTTAGAAGATATTAAAACTGAATAATTGATTTAATTTCTTCAGTAGTGACCACCAGTTTGTTCTTGATATACTTCAATAACATCATCATTTTCCATTTCAAGCTGAAAAAATAATTATGCGATATTAATTCCTATTTTGCATTTCCAAAATGTTTAATTTAGATACTTATAAAGTTGTAATTACCTGCTTTGGTGTTTCATCATCATTAATTCTTTTACCATCAAAAAGAAACCTTAGAGATGTCATAGGAACACCCTAAATAAAAGTTGATAATTTATAAATTTCTTTTCTGCCTATAATGTACATTTAAATTCGACTTGCTAAACAATGTACAATATGAATGATAAGTAACTTTTTGTAACACATGAAATAGTATTATATTAAACATTTTGTAGAAGGAACAGTACCAAAATTATCAGTTTAAAATAAAATTGAAATGTTCAGTTACAAGTGTGGTTCTGTAAGTTATGACTTTACACACCTTGGTGTTTGTAAACATTGACAAGACCTTGATTTCAAATGTATTGATACGTCAGTCACAAATCAGATACATGTCTTACAACTAATAATATTTAAATTGCAAACACAGATACCACAGGCATAAATTATTTAATTTCAATTCAAGATAATTTAAGCAATTGTTAGTATAGAATAGCATTAAAGAGATTAATCAAATTGAAATCTAGTTACGAGCATTCTTGGATGGATTCAGTGCAATCATTCAAGAATTAAACTACGACAATGTTACAGTAAATTTATGTGTTAACTAATATCTTACCAAACAAAATGTCTGACAATATTGCGATAATTAATTTCCTTGGAAACCAAGTAAAAATTACTTATCCATACATTTTGTAGAAGGTGAAACTGTTTTACAGAAACTTGTGAAACCTCTAAAAACTACCTTAAGATAATGTATCCAGCGTCAAAATATATAAAGTACTGTCTTATTTTAATTGTACGCGTATATTTTAAACGAAAAGGAACTAACCACACGATCGCTATACGATTTCTTCAGTTTACCCATTTGAGTAGTCATCTTTACCCTAAAGTGAATTTCATTGCTGTCCTAAAAAAAAAGTGAAACGATGGTCATGGATTATCATCGCAGGAAGGTGATAATGCGGAAAATGAAACCGGCAGTTCTTACGTTCCCAACGACTTTAAGCTTGATGTATTCGGAATTCGCGTCGCCAGGGCCGGCTTCGGGTTTTTGTTCCTAACACGAAAGGTTAGACCGATTAGATTCGGTGTATGAACGTACATTTTGATATTACGACACATTTGTATCGTATAAAATTATTATTAACGAATCGTCCGTTAAACTGAACAGACTCACCTGGTTATCGGACATGGTATTTAATTAAATATAACAATTCTCGACCACGCGCCAGAACAGTAACCAAACACAAGCACGCAATATGGCGCCGTGCTTTTGTCAGTTGCACAGCCTTCTAAAAATAAAAATTTTAACGTTAATGGCATTTGTGTTCGAAAAGACGTCGTTTCTCGACCATATCGTTTGTTTGAAAATGCATCCTCGATTTTTCAGGATAATTAAATAACATTGTCATATATAATCCAATTAAACATTAAAGCAAAGAAGTTTCATCTTCTCCTTTCTTCGGTTTCTCATGATGATAAAAGCTGATGTAATTAGCTTATGTACCGAATCATTTTCATTTGTACCGTAACGTTCTTTAATTTTCAAATTTTATAAATTATACTTTCTATTGTTATAAATTTTTATGAAATTTGTAACATTTGAAATAACAATATTGTAACAATGATATTACAAATAAATAAATATTTGAAAAATACAAAAAGAAAATCCTTTACGTCCTGTAATTTATTACTATAACTACTTTCTCAATTATTAAAAACCTATATTCTAAAAGTATATTTTGCATAGAGATTATTCTGAAATAGAATTTATATCATACAAATGAATATTTGAATCTTTAATAATTTTGATTTTAATGTGATACAAGTTTTTAAAGAATGCGATTTATGTACTTGGGACGATTGCCATCGATAATACGATAATTGTGTTGGCGTCGAAAATATTTACATACAACGAATTACTTGATAACAATTTATATTTAATCGAAAAATACTTATGCGTTAATTAAAATAAAATTCGTTAACCGATCGATTGCAATAACGTGTTCCTAAAACACTTTATCGATAAGTTTAATGAAAATGCATGCATTTAATTGGAATGTTATTGAAAAAGTGCCTTAACATATATCGTTACATTAGAAGTAGATTTGAGGATCTAGTATAGTTGTGTAAAATACTTACACAGGTTTAGAGTGCCAGTGGAACCACGTATAATGAAGGTAAACTTTATTAATATGTTATTATAATATTAAGAATATTATATATTTAATATTCAAAGCATAATTTCATGGGGGAAAACAATATCCCCATCTAGCGTTGAAAGAGTGTAACTAAAATTCCGATGTTTAGTCAGCGCCTCTATCGCAAAAACGCTCAAGTTTGTCGTAAAATGGTTCCTTTTTCTACTGGTAGATGGCGCTATTTTCAGCGTCTTTTACCGACCTATCGGTATATTACCATAATGTCGGTAAAAAATACAGTAAATGGGGCCATCTACAAGTAAAAGGAGGAACTATTGTGCGACAAACTTGGGCATTATCTCGTTAGATGGCAATACTAAATACCGACATTAGTTGATAATTATTCTTCTTTTTTTTATAAACATTTATATACTTTTATTTGATGTTAAGTATTGTAAACAATAAATTGTACTCGTAACCGTTGTTTCATACATGAGAACATCGTCTTTCACATGTTTCCTTAGCAAAGAGTACGACATTCGTGTAAGTTGTTTAAAACCTCATTGCAAGAAGAATAATGGTCAATAGATGTTTCTCTAATTTAATTATCATGTCAAATTGCTTGTAGCATAATTACAAGTTCATTATCGAACGTAATCAGCTGGAATATGCAAATATTTCTATTGTTAGTAATGTTTAGTAATGATCCCACTAGGAAAAATAATTGGACCTTTTCACCGCTAGATGGCTATACTGTATTTTGCACCGTTTTTTGAGAAAAGAATCTTTAGAAATAGATTATCAGGCCACGTATCAAACTCTATCAAACTAATATCAGAGGCTAGATACAGGAAGGTCATTTCATATAATATAAATATAGATTTACAGCATAAGGACTGTATAAGGAGATCCAACTCTCTAAGAAATATATATGTATATATATGTATATATATATATATATGTGACTACGCTATATATGTCATATGTGTATGTGTGATAATTAGACTGCGCAACTTTATGCAAAATAAAAGCTTCGCGAACGTGCCTATAAAAATTTAATTGAAATAGGAATTTATTTCTTCTGCAAATATTATAACAGGAACTTTACTTTCAATCTTTTTTATATTCTTGTATATCGTTTGCATTTTGTAGTTCCTTGCACATTCAAATTTCCTATAAATGCATAAAAATCCGCAGTCTAGTGATAATATATATATGATAATATACTGTATATCGTAGTCTGTGCTCACTTGCGCCGCGAGTGGTAGAAATATTCATAACTTCAATCTCGAAATTTTGATAACACTTCTACACTTCACAGTTAGGACTCCTTATACAGTCTTCATGATTTACAGTTATCTTTATAAGACTATGGCTGTTTACTATATCCCCTTCTCTTCCCTGTTCGAATCTTCTTGTTATTAGCCTGAAAAATTCATCGATCTTCTTAGCTCTTTTTGTCCGAACCAGTTCGAACTTGCAGTTCGTAATGGACGTTACATCTATGGCGAATAGATGCTAAGCAAATAACTCAGGGCCGACGCAAGGCAGGTTCAGCGCGTTCGTCGGAACCCGTCCACGCGGTCTACGAAAATTACCGAATTGAAAGGCATCGATTTTGATTAACTTTTTACAAACTGATGATATCATTAACAAATACAATACAAGACAAGCGCTGATTAAATTGAAAGGAGTGACAAAAATCATCAAAGTATTATTATTTAATATTCATATTATAAAAAATATATAATATTGGGTTGTTCAGAAAGTTCGTGCCAGTTTCTAAGAAAACTTCAAAAACACGTTTGAATTTTAATATATATTTATTGAATTACATAGGTGCCATTTTGTTCCACAATTTTTGCACCTTTTCAGGGATGTACACATGTTATTTGTTTTCAACCATTCCGATATATTCAGACCTGTACCGCCTACCAAAAATCGGCATGGACTTTCCAGACAACCCAATATGTAATAGCATTTGTAAATAAACAATTCCTCGTTGTAAAATTTAATCGTAGTATTTGAATGTGAATCCAGGCCCCGCAAAAGGTCACGCCGGCCCTGGAATAACTGATGCCAACCACTGCGTATGAAATTGTAGAACGCCCCTTTGGCCCAGAGATGGGCAAAACCCTAGGCTTCGAATAAATCTGAAGTTTTCCAATATGTTTGTCTCGTTTCTTCTGTTGAACATTTTCCAAAGAAGGAAACGAGACAAACATATCGGCAAACTTCAGATTTATTCGAAGTCTAGGGTTTTGCCCATCACTGCCTTTGGCCCCTGTGTGGCTGTCGTATCTTTCAGTTGATTGGTCGAACGCTAGTGGAGACGTGCGGCTGCCGCAGCGCGGCATGCTCGTGGTTGCGATTTCAACTTATACCTCCTGTGAACGCGGCCGATGACGGTCGGTCAACAAAACTTTGTAATTCGAACGAAACTCACGGGACAGTTCGGATCACGCGTCGCGTCACGAATGTTTCCGCTTTCCGTCGGAGTTTCTTAAAACAAGTTTTCCGTGTGTGGTTTTCATTTTAATAATAAAACGTGCGAGCGAAATTCGAAGTAATTCAACGGTGATTGCCAGGTGTTACCAGGTGAATGTGATCGTTTCGTGCTGCGTTACCTGGGACTTACCTGAAGGGACAAACGGAACCGAAGAAAGCATCGAAACTTTACAAGTTTACAATTATTATACAAAATCCATTCTACTGTGTGAATTCAAGTGCATCGACAAGGATTTTACCATTTTTAACACGCACGATTTACTACGTCAGAATCGGTCGCATTCTTTCTCACAAACGATCTGTACACTTTTTTTTTATCGATACAACGACTCTCGAATGATTACGATTCTCAGCTCGTGCATTCACCTTAGTTTGACGACAATTACAATGATCTATCAAATCTGAACGTGTTTTACGCGCATACGGTGCACGGTCACGGAAATGCAGAATGTAAGGACGAACCGTAAAAAAGTTTTCGGGAATACGTTAAAATTAATCTGACGATAGAAGCGTTAGACTTGATGCGTCGGTCTGAATGTAAGAAGAGGAAGTGCCTACACGAAAATCGAATGGAAAACGTCACGGATGCTACATGATCGGCAGTTTCACGAAAGTAGGAGGGACTGCGAGTGCAAGTAAGAGGAATGTTGTCTCACAGGTGTACGCCGTAATGCTCTTCCGTTACGCCTCTCGAAGGAAAACGTAATCGAGCCTCGAGACTCGCCACGTGAACTCAAAAATGCGGAGAGCGTCCAGGAATTGTCGGTTTTGTTTCGCGTGACTCGATCGTGCCGATTCTGCGACGTTCCGTAGTGAAGTGTTGAAGGAGGTGCGAGTGACAGAGAGTGGTTCGGGCAGAATTTATCAAGGAACATGGAGTTGCCATGGAGAAATGCGGTGGCGGACCTGTCGACCTTCCTGACCACGAGGACGCGGATTTTGTTTGCCGCTGTTTATTTCATCTGGATCGCTGGAAGCGCCTGCGCCACTGGTGAGTTTTCGCGCCCGTTTTCGTCGTATACATCGCGTTGTTTCACGTTTTTCGTCACGTTTACGCGATATCGATTCTTATCTCAACTATCGTTACAATATCGCACGCCGACAACCAGAGATCGGCAGAATTTTATTCGGGGGAACAGACGAGCTCTGTTAACACGTTGAACGCCTCGTCACCCTCGTATATGGGTGACAGTGCTTTTCACTGAGGAAGTAAGAAAATTAATCTTGGAAGTTAAGCGTCAAAGGAAACGGATTTAAATGAAATTCATAAATTTTTATGAAGTTAGAAAAATAAATATCACGATAGACGTTCGAATAAGTAGATTCCAATAATTTGAAAAATATTTAATCCTAGCAGAAATTTTCAAGAATATTTGTTTGGCAGTCGACCTGTTAAGGCCCCATACCGCAGTGCGCGCGCGGTAAGTGGGTGTATTTTTAATAATTTTTTTCCGAGCAAACGATGAATGTTTTTCTTTTTTTCATTGATACCTCTATCCAATATACAGGGTGATCCATCCAAGTAAGACCACCTAAATATCTCCTCTAATTGTGGGGGTACAAACAATATTTTGTATGCTATTTGAATGGTTTGAAGAAACCATTCTATTGCAAAAGATTTCTTTTTTCTAGGGTAATTTTTTTTTCGGAGTTTACAGGGTTATCGATGTTTTTTTTTTTGCGTGTAAATGTATAATTTTTTTTTATCGCATCGTGTAGCTGATGTGAAAATACGTTCAGATATGTGCATTACGTGACCTTGAAATGATCTTTGAGTTCAAAAATTAAATGGAAACGAAAAATTGTTGTCTACAACATTCTCTCAAAAAACGATTCATCGTTTTCATATTGCTGTAAACCCCACTGACAAAAATTCAGGCGATTTTCAAAATCACGTCCGTGTAGATCCTGATGGAGAGACGCGTGATACGGATGAAATTTTTGTTCACACAGTTGACATCATTTTACCTGACTTCGTACCGGCGAAGAATGATCGCACGACAAACTATTCGCGAGTTTAGCTCGCCGGTAATTGTCGTCGTTGTAACGTACAAATGGTATTCGCTTTGTCACGAGACTGGCACGAGAACAGGATACACGCTCAGCGTTTACGATATCCATGACGAAGACGAAGGTTCGACGTGAACGTGCAGCGACAGGGTTGAACGTTTCCTGAAAGGGGTCAGGCCTGATATGCAACGATTTAAACATTGGAAACACTGCCGAGTAGAAGAAACGATTTCTTGGCGTCTGATCAAATCCTTTTCGCGTACAACCAACTGGTAAACGAACGTTCGATTCGAACCAACGGTTTCCCTTTCGATCGACTTAATTGTCGCGATTAATTAGAAATTCCAATCGTAATCGTAATCCCATCGTTTCAAGTTGTGATTACGAATACGACCGTATTTTTAAAGGTTTACAGCCGTAGAAATTCTTTAACTCAAAACCGACATCAATTTCTCACATTAAAAAAACTTAGAAAACCATGCTTTCGTCGAAATAAATTTTTGTAGAAAAGTTACCCTATCCATCTCTATGGGCACGAATTTTAATTGAAAATTTTTCATTTTTGATTTCGACGAATGTATGATTCTCTAAGTTTTCTAAGTTTTTTGAGAATTTCTATGGCTGTGAAGCTTTAAAAATACGGGCTGTAATCGCAGAAAAGTTTGCGAATACAATTTTCAATCGTGAACGCAGAAAAATTTGCGATTACGATTATAATCGTATTCGTAATCGCAACTCGGAAAGATGCGATTACAATCGTAATCACAACTCGAGAACATTCGATTACAATCGTATTCGTATTTGCGATTACGATTTGGCCCATCACTGGATTTATTGCCACGGTATCGATGGGCCAGCGCGCATAGTGTTCGCGCGCTGTGCAATGCACTTGATTATGAATGGTACCAAGGGCAGATTGTACGCGAAACGTTAATGGGCTATAAGTTGCTCTGTGCGGTAAAACGACCGCCAAACATCGTCGCGAAATTTACGTCTGTTTTTATGATTGGGCCGAGGAAGTAATGGCCGTGTTCCTCGGCCATGTAAATTACGTGGATTGGATCATCCTATCCTAATATTTATTAGGCGTAGAAATTAATTCTGTGCCTCTGTATTTCATAGCTCTAGTTTAAACCGATATAATCGAGTTATATCAACCTTCGAATACATTGATCTCTATTATGTGATAATATAATATATTATTTCGCGAGCATTGAAGTATCAAATACAGTGAGTGTAGAATGTATTCGTACACCGATCAATTTTCCAAAAAACTTTTCTGTGAAATTGTAGTTTCTTAACTTCTTTTTTTATAATCGATGATATTTTACATATTCTCGGAAGTCTCTAAGATTAATCTAGTCCGAACAACATTTACTAGTTAATATAATTTTTGTGAAATTAACAAAAAGATGCGAAAAGTGGGTGAAAGTATAAAAGCAGTAAGTGTTTGTACGATTCTTATGACGAACCATTTACAGTAGCGTTTGTAACGTAAACACATTAGTTTATTGCTCCGTGCGAATTAGAAAACATCAAATTTCCAGGAAAGTATTAGGTTGACCCGAAAGTTTCTTTCGTTTTATCAATAATTAATATATACATAATATTTTATTACTGTTGCATTACTGTTGCACCATCGATGTCTAAAAAATTAGATTGTCTATTTATAGAAACACTGCCACAGAAAATAATTGAATGAAACTTCGATCCCACTTCGAATACCTAATAATTTAGTTAATCGAATCCTTGGAAAAGTTACAATAACTATGAAATCAAAAGGAAATCCCACGAAAGAAGTATTATATACTTATAAATCAATGTTTTTTTTTTTTATTCTATGAATTTTACATATCTTTTTTGGAAATTGATCGGTGTACGAATACTTTCTGCACCCACTGTAAAAATAATTTCAGTTCAAACAAATATTTCTACAGCTGATAACTCTAATTCGAATCTTCGGCTAGGAACGAGTACAATTTCATCTTCAATTCGTTCATTTTATTCTTCGTATTAGTATCGATTTGTTATTTATCGAGGAAGACACGCGGAGGATCCCTCGATGTAGACAACGAGCGATCCTGTCCGAAATGCATTCATATCGATGGACTCGAATCAAAGCACCTGCGGGGATTCGCACGGAGATTGTCGCCTCGTACACTGGGGGAAATAAAAATCTACGAAAATCTCCCCCATGATGTCCGAGAGCGTGGCGTAGGAGCCGCCCTAATTGAGATTTATTACGACGTTAATCCGTCCAATTGTGTGAACGAAGTTAAACCGTTGACCTCTTCGTCGACGATTGCAAAGGATACCGAGCACGTGCCGCGGTCCCTCGCCCGTATATCGGTATAAATAATGGCGCCGCCGCTAGCATCGTGGAAAAATCTGTTTTGTTTTAGTCTAAGAGCTGGCTACGAAAATCAGGAACGATGAGGTGTAGCGAAAATTTATATCTAAAAACACTCCTTACTAGATAAAATAAGCCCCGACCAAGACTTCTGGCAATAGCTTTACGCGATTTCTACAGTTAAAGACTACAACTACACAAAATTTCAGGGCTGCGCTCAAAACATTTTATTTTGATTAAAAATTAACATGTTTGACCGCCCGCCCACGCTTTCAGTCTCGGAAGCGACTTCTGGCTGCAGCGCTATTGTCTTTGTTATCTAGTAAGGAGTGTTTTTAAATACAAATTTTCGCTGCACCTTATCATTTCTAATTTTCGTAGCCAGCTCTCCGTCTATTTCTACCTGTCCCTGAAATACTTTGAGAATCGAGAATTTAATTTTCATAGCACAGTGTACAGTGTTCATCAGAGAATAAGAACAAGGGCCTCAAATAACTCATCGATATAAACGGTAAATAATTTAGATCTTTTCTCAACGTTTTTCCGTGCGTCTTTATTATTCGGTCGAACATAGTTGAGCATAGTCGAGTGACTTACGGATTCGCCTCGCGCGTCTTTTATGTACAAACGCTTTCATTGCTGGTGTACCCAACCGATAATTAGTATTAAAGCGCGCGTGCATCCGTGTGCCGTCTTAATTGCATGCGTATCGACGCACGTGACCCTCACGTGCATGACCGTCGTTAAAAAGCGCACGATGCACGAACGAGGAAAACGATATATGTATACCCGAGACCCGTTCAAACGACGGAATTCCATTTCTGTACGTGGAACACGCCCGTGATTTTGTACGGATGGGGGAGAATCGTTGATTAAATTTTCCTTGAGACAATGTGGGCCATTGATAAAGGCAACTCCCCCTAGATAAGAGATAGGAAACGAATTCAGAGAATTGGGCCAACGCACGGACAACTGCAACAGTTACTTCGCGTTGTTCTGTGGTTTAGGGTTGGGGACGTTTCAGTTTTTAGCTTGCCAAATTATTAGGACTTAATGCTTGAATAAAATTGAAATTGTATTATGCATTGCGTTAATCATTCAGTGCATACAAAGTACGAAAAACACAAAGTACTGTCATAGTAGTAAGTCATTGTTCTATGGTTTAAGATTGAGGATGTTTCAGTTTTTAACTTGCAGAATTATTAGGAATTAATGCTTGAATAAAATTGGAATTGTATTATGCATTGCGTTAATCATTCAGTGCATACAGAGTATACAATATCGCAGTATGAATAGAAATAGTGATACTAACTGTGATATTCTTATAAAAGAGGACAAAATCACTTGGCGTAAGTTTCACGTGCAAAGTGCCCATGAAAAATTGTTCAAAAAGTTAGAAGACTCTTGACTGTATCTTCATCGAATATCATTCTGTATCCGCAGAAGTTTCCGAGTTCGGAATAAATTTTGCATAAAGTAGAGAATGAAGTAGAATAAAGGTCGTTTAGTATTTTGGACGGTTCTCGAGCGAAGAAGTGCCTCGAACAGCGGCTTAACGCCATAACAAGGAAGCCGACAAAACGATTAAAAAAAAAACAAAAGACATAGTCGAGCGTATGGTTTCGCCAGCA